ATGAAAGCAAAAATAGAAATTGTTAGCTCGATGTTGGTAATAGATAAAGTGGTCAATAACTCTGACGAGCACCAACCTCGCTAAGGAAGAAAGTGGAATGCTCTGGAAACAAGCTTGCTAAAAAGGCAGCCTGAGAACGTTTTTTTTCTTTTTTTCTTTCGGCGCCGCGGCTGATCGAGTGGTTACAGAACGTCGTCACTGTTGCTATAGCTACCACAGCCTGTTGCGCAGTCAGCCTCGTAGTCAGTGAAAATTATACATTATTTTACGGTGAACAATACAAAGTGCGTTAGGGTAGGAGCCACACCGTTATCGCCATGTTTCTCTGAATTACTGGAAACGTGGCGACGATAATTCGCCTATAGTGACAGCCTTAGTAACAGAAGAAATTTTATGTATTTTACGCGCATCTGGAACACCTGGGTTTGTCGAGATCATTATTTTTTAGGTAACATTAATAAACATTTCTGTTTCTTTTTTTTCATTTTGGGGGCGAATTGTGTTTTTTAATATATTAAAAGATACATTAAAAATAAACTCTAGGTGTACCTATCAGTCGCCGTGGAACATTGGAGTATCACCCCTCACGCACACATCGAAAACATGTGCACAGCAGGAACTGCATTTCTTTTTATTTTACTTCAGGGACATAAAGAAAATTTACCTAGAGTATCAGCAAGGTATAATTGAACACGGTGTTAATTAACAAGCCTTAATTAGAGCCATTTTTATAACACTGCCTTGTCTTAGTCCTAATTAGCAAGGGCTTAACTCAAGCGATCCTGGTAGTTAGGATGGCCTTAATATGTAAGGTCTTTCTCTTCTTATGCGTTTTTCTGCTGCTATTTCTTCCCCTTCTCGTTTTTTATTTCTCTCTCTGTCTTGGAAATGTGCATGCATTGAATAGACGCCTAAATTTCACATCCTCCGTGTCATTTTTGGTGAATTTGCTGAGTACAAGCCTTAATATGCACCAAATTACAAGAAGATACAAAATATGTACTGTAGCTATCCTCATTTCTCGATTGCACATCGTGAAGAGCAAACTGCCTGTAATTAGCCACTAGGTATCATGAAGAAAGGGACCAAGAGAGCCCACTTCAGCCGAGTTATCACATTGCAAGCACTAGGCGCAGAGTTGCAGTTTTTTGGTCACCCCAAATGGTGGAACAGGAAAGTTTAACAGCTCTTCAGTTAAAAGAAAACATCATTTTATATATAACTTTTTGAAACTCCATAGACTTTTTGAGTTAGAAACGCATGAAGGTAAACCCCTATTCATATCTTTAAGTGGCCTATAGTGTAACAAAATTATCAGTCGTATAATGGAAACCTAACTCACGGAATTCAGTCATAACTATGTTTGTTGGGGAAAAGAGTGAGCATGCACGTCTATTCAAAGTCTTTACCCAAACACACATCAAAACCTGAAATAAAGAAAAATACCGCAGAAATTCAGCGGAAGAAAAATGTAAAAAAAAAAGCTGCACCCCGGTCGCAGGATATGCTCCGTTCAGGAGATGATACCAGAGCTTGCGGCAGCTAACAACGGTGCAGTCATGCTTCACGCACAACATAGAGCGGGCAAGAGCTTGCGAGTGGGAAGGCGGAGATCGGGGAAGAGGTGGGCCTTAGTCGAAGCGGTGAGGCTTTGTGAGGTCGCCTCCGATGGCTGTCGGAAGAAGGAGCGCTCGATAACACCACGTCGTCGGCAAATGTTTTTCCCATGGATATCGCGCTCGAGCCACTCAAAAGCTGCCGACATAATAACACTGCAGCACACGTACACAAAGCTAAAAGTAAGATCTCTCGCGAACCCAAACGTCACTATTCAAACTACGTCAGAGACGAGAGATAGGAAAAGGAAGTGGGGGGAACGCGGGAAGATGAACAGAAACTGCAGAAAGCCGCGTGTAGTACGTTATTCTTTTCAAGCGCAATAGGCCGGCGCTATGAGGAGGCCTCCCTTGAGTACCGACATCAGCGGCTTTGAAGCGACGAGGCTTGCAGGGCAGGCGCGTGTGGAGAGTGCTCAGAGGGGAGAAAGAGGCCAGGCAGCGCAGTGGTGTGCACCGAGCGCCGGGTATCGACCCATTAAGCGGAAAACCGGCCGGCTAATTAAACGCCCGGAGAAAAAAAAAGCGATGGCTTCTTTTACGCGGGAAGCACACACACAGACGCACGCGCTCTGCCTACTAACTCAGTGCGGTGTGCTAGGCTTCGCCGTGCTCTTCCATCAGGGCGAGTCAATACCGGCTCGACTTTTTATCTACCAGTGAGTCCGTGCGTTTGTGCCTGTACGAGTATGTGTACTTATATGCGTTAACAGAAGGAAGCTCGCCTCCGCGTGCTTCATGCACATTAGCGTGTTTTAAGAGGCCTCGCTTTGCGGCTAGGCGTGCGCGTCGCTTACCGCACTGCGTAACGGGATACCGCAGCTTTGAGTGGGAAAGTGTTGGTGCGGACGGCGGCTTTGAAGAATCACTTTTCGTTTGCTGTGAAGAAGTTGGAGGGATCGAAATCAATTTCGCCTGCTCCGTGTACGTCAACGTCGTTATGATTTCTTCACTCATGACACAAGAAGACTTTTGTAGTTGATAGGCCCACCTCCAACACCCCTAACTTTGCAATCGACTCAGATTCAGGACGAAAAGTTATGTGCTGCTCATCCGACGTAATCACGCGAAGCTGAGCTGGTCGCAACAGTTTTACCCCGTAGCTATTGTCGAGCATTCCTGATCGATTACAAGTTGCATTGTAGAACGAATGCGAGGCCCTCAGTTTTTCGATGATGGTTATCAGCCAATCCTGCTCTCCACACCACCTGCTTCGCCAGCGCCACAGCTTCATCTCTGCCCTGCTCCTCTCTCCGTAGCTCTATCCTATCCCCGTTACTATCAGTCATTAACCAGACAACCAACTCCGCTTCCCTCTCTCCCACACACCTTTATCCCCGCTTTACTTTTTCGTTAGAATTCTCTTTCGCTGAGGAGATCGCTGGTGACGAATCCACCTACGATGTATTAAGGACCTTAAACAGCTCTACCGTTAAAAAAATTACTGTAGTGTCAGTATTCGTATGACATACGAGTAAGTATCGGTCCGCCACCCAAGGATCGCACCAATACCTACTCATATTCAAACCTTTTCAAATTACAGCTCCCTTTGAAAAGTGATTCTATGGGGGCTACACGTGCCGCTGGCCCCTGTTTTGTATCCAGTCACCCTCTCTTTCAAAGACCTCGCAAACTCGCAGCCGCAACCAGCTCTCCGCAGTTTTGCACTGCCCATCGCGCGCAACGCACCACCGTAATTAGGGCGCGCTCTCCTCGTGCCCGAGATCCCGGAGCCTCGCTCCGAGAGCTCTGAAGATAATCGTTGCACCGGCCGGTCAGCACCTCCGCCAGCAGAGGCAGCTTCAGAACTGGCCACCCGCATCCTTCCAAACTCGACACCCAACCACGTCCGCCGCGCCTCACGACGCGAGCAGCGAGTGCGGCGATGCTGCCTATCTCCGCAACGAGACCGAGTGGCGTCCGGGAGAGGTGGCGGTGGAGGCGAGCGCCGACCGTTAATTACGGACGCTGAGGGTGTCCACCGCCAGCTCGCCTGGCGCTTACGGGCTATGCTCGGCCGCGTAATAGCGAACGGCTGATTAAGGAGTGTCATTGCAACCATTCTCGTGGCCTCCCGTTACAGAGGGACGATTAGGAGTTATTAGCTTTCGCGTACGTCCCCCAAGCGTGGCGCTTGCACTCGCGAATAAAATTAGTATAACCAATTTTTCTCGCCAGTGCAGGAGTCACAAATGTGGTACAGTGTGCCGCTATAATAATGGATGTCAACAACGTACTTTCTTTTTGGAGGCTTATAGTTGCAGCACAAAACATAATTGCTTCCTGATGGGATTTCGCGAAACGGTCTCATCTCTTGTAATCTTGATATCAAGCCCCGACGCGGTGGTCTAGTGGCTAAGGTACTCGGCTGCTGACCCGCAGGTCGCGGGATGAAATCCCTGCCGCGGCGGCTGCATTTCCGATGGAAGCGGAAATGTTGTAGGCCCGTGTGCTCAGATTTGGGCGCACATTAAAGAAGCCCAGGTGGTCGAAATTTCCGGAGTCCTACACTATGGCGTCTCTCATAATCATATGGTGGTTTTGGGACGTTAAACCCCGCATATCAATCAATCTTTATATCAAGCTACAATCACTTCAGTCACTTTCACTAAGGAAAGCACTTGCTATTTCTCTAAAAGCGTAGTCGTTTAGATTAGCTTATGTCCAGTCAAGCAATGCCTCGTGTATGATTCAACGCTGTTTACTTTTGATCTAGTGTAGCTCAAGGACATTGAAGTTTTATTTATGGAGAAAACAAATTATGAGCGAAGAAAGCTCGAACTCGCTTTACTTGTGAACACCACTGCTAAGCATCGTATAGGTCGTTCACGTAACTGCAACCACATAAAAGTTATTAATTAAGCAAACTGTTGTCATAGCTCTACGACGCACTTTACTGTTTAGAAGACTCTGAGCCCATAGTCACAAAATTGTACTACGGTAAACATTTTCGAACGTTAACCTTCCATTCAATCACGATGCACAAATACAAAGTTAGTGAAGCTGGCTTACCATCGGGAAAATGCACCGAAAAAAGAGAAGTTTCGTGAAATCGGCGCCTGAAGAATAACGAATAGCTGGACTAGTTGGTTGGCATTGCTAATTGTGGTAAAGCAGCGCCAGACAACGAATACTAAACAAACTAACACATCTGATTTCTTTTTCATCCTTATGACCTCATAGTCTAGGGCTGCCTTAAGATAACAATGAATATAAATGTTGCCCTTTATTATTCTGTGAAATTGACGCGTAGAGTCGGATTGGTATCAATGCTTATGGGATTGACTGTGCAGCAGCATACTATGCGACCTCGTAAGAGAACTTTACTTTGTGTTTGTCGTTATGTCTTTAAAAGAAAACATCGAATTTCGCTTGGTCTCACAGTTTCACGCAAGATGACACTCCGACGCCGGATGGTCTGACATCGTCGCTACTCTTCGCTGCAACCGAAAGAAGTGATTCTGGTCTGTACACCTGCCTCACGGCAAATAAGTTTGGAAAAGACGAAACTAACATCAAGTTACTCGTGCAAGGTGAGCATTTTTGTTTTCTTCTGGCTAGCAGAATCTTGGTCGTATGGGGGAAGCGTGGTACGAGGGTTGTGTCCAGTATATATATATATATATATATATATATATATATATATATATATATATATATATATATATATATATATAATATATATATATATATATATATATATATATATATGAAAGGAGAGACACACCTCACCTAGCCAATGATTGGTAGGGATGGAAACTCATCCCACTGCGTTGTATCAAGGTTTGGGAGACCCGAGGTGACGCTGTGAGCGAGACGACTCACAGGCCACCTATTCTTGGCCCTGGTTAATAGAAGAGAGTTCTCACGAACATTTCCAATTCCACATTGGTTCCCTCTTACCACCTTCTCATGTATTTTTGTTTAATCAACGCGCTTACATTACTCACTACATCTTGATATTAATGTGTTCACAACTGGAGATGTTTTTAACTTGTTCCCATGCCTCCCCCTGACCCCTCTTAAAGCACAACTTCTTCGTTTCTGGTGCTTTCTCCGGTACACGACAATACAATCGAGACCGAGTTCAGGCGATATCGGTCGTCTCGAGTCTGTGGCGACGCTTGGCGTCAACTGCTTCAAATAAACTTCTTCAGAACACGCCCGAGAGTAATGGATCAAAGGAGCCACACCATTTCGATATTTCAGTCTGCCACTGCAAGATGCCTTGCTTTTACCACGGGACTCAAGGACAAACATATCCAACCAGCCAGCACAAGACAGTAATGTTGCAAAGCGAATCGCAGCGTCTCAAATGCAGCTGTTTAAAGAATAAAACAACGTAACATGTTTCTTGAACATCGATCTTTCTCGGTTTCGTCCGCCCCTGTTACCACTTGTGCCGTATGCCCACGCTATCTCAAGCTACGTGGTATAAAAAGAGTGATAAGAAAAGGAGAACGAAAAAAAATGTACAGCGTGCATGACGGCAGATAAGAAAATGAAGGACCGAAAATAATAGAACGCGTAGAAAGAGAAAGGGGGGTGCGCTCGTTTCGGGTGCGCTCGCAACGGCTCCCCCTGCGCAGGCTGCTATTTTCCGAGAAATTATTTCATGGCCCATTGCTCGCCTTCTCTTTATGCCTGGACCATCGCTCAGTGTGAGCACTGCGTGTGTTTGCTGCTTACTTGCTCGCTAGAAATGCAACGCCACCCCAGCCTTCACAGAGGGGATTTGGATGGCATCCCTCAAATTTATGTCTCTAGCGTTGCTCCTGTTTGCCCTTTTCGGTCTCCTCGTCTTTCTTTTTTTGTTTCTTTTCTTTTTTCAAACTGTGCTCACGTATTGCGATTATTTGGTCTCAGAGTTTTTTTTTTATTGCACGTTTTGAATTTGTTTTGAATGAAGAAAGAGATGTTTGAGATAGTTCTTCATAACTGTCTTGAGATTACTCTAAAAAGAGCCTTGGAAGATTCATCGCAAAGTGGTAAATAGCAGGGACTCCAAAAATGAAATATGGCAAAACGCAGTAAAGAGATTGAAGGGTGGATATTTGAGGCGACCCTTACGAACAAGCACAATAAGGTCAAAAGTAAACAGGCACTGTGAACATTGCGCCCAAGGCTACATCATTCCCTCGTCTTTCTTTTCAGTCTCTTTTCTTTCTCATCATCATCATCATCTCAATGTCTTTCTTTGTGTTGCTCTCGTTGCCTGCCAGTTGCAACTTTTGTTAGTTTTGCTTCGTACGCTGCTTTCGAGACGGAGTTGTTTTCAGTCCATTAGCTAATCTTTCCCGTGAATTCAATATGAATTTTTTTCCCTCTACCAGAGTTGACACAGCTGTCATTTGTAGCTTTGCTCGATTCTGGCATCCGAAGAAGAAATGGGAGCACGTGCCATACACTTCAGCAAACAAGCAACAAACACTTTTTTTTGTTTACAGTTTGCTCCAAAACTTTAGACTAAAAATGACGACAAACATTAGCCTCTTTGGCATTCGCATTATCTTCGCCAATATCAACCATCATTATCGTTTAGTTTGGCCTATGTTGTTTCCATTGAATAACGAAGACCTTGTTTAATCGAATTTTATTAGCCTATTTCCTTCGCAACGGCATTAAATATGTCTCAAAGCATCATAATTCTATTCCATCAGCAAAGCTGCGGTCATCGTCTAGGCTTCGCCTATGTTACAGAATTATTAGGTTCTAAAGCGCATTTATAAGCCTGGGTAGTTTACCACAACTGTATGAAGCCTAAATAGGATAATATATAGTTATATGTTGATTTTACAGTACATGTGAACATGATTGTCACGGTGCAGAGACGACATGATTGATTTGCGATGGATTTTATCACTATATTTCACTAGACCAACGGTACAGCAAAGTTAAGAGAATGCTGACAAAGCAAGAGAGTTGCAGATAATTTTTTTTACGCGAAAAGCGTTAAAGAGGTTCTTTCGCAGAAATTCCGGCATCAGTGTCAGCGTCATTCGTTTTGAGCTCAAAATTATCATCTTGTCCGTAATCATAAATCGAGAAAGATGCAAATAAAATAAACAATGAAGGAATTTAAGGTCTGAGCAAGGATCAAAATTTGCGGGGCTAGCAGCTGTTCCACCACACAGGCATGCGTCTGCTAGGGAACGCAGTGAAAATACATTCATTTACTTGGAAATACATTGAAATCAACTAAACTTTCGTGCTCTACGGGTGGCAAACACCGCTAAGGGGCCATATATTTCCGCTTCTCTTCCTTACATTTAGTATGGAGTGCTTAGATGGTGCTTGATCAAGTGCCGGTTCATGCTGTTGATAATTTTTATCTAAAGCACACTGTAAATCACATTAGTAGCAGACCTGCTGAAAAACTGTCAAGCTAAGTTGAGTTTTTTTTTCTTTTTGTGAGTAATACAGGCTGAGGTTGTAGTCTGTCTCAAAAATTTCATCTCCGAGCTGATAATTGTGTTACAGTATCCATCAACCCTCCCAATTCGGCCCGCACTGAAAGGCACACACAAAAAAGTTAACTTCTCATGGCATAAGAAAATCCGGAAGTAAAATGTTGAGCCTGCCTGTACTAAAGTGAACCTCCCGTGTAGCCACTGCTTGTGTGTGACTTCACTCTGCCGTACCTCCGAAGCATGGCAGGTAATGTGACCTTCATCATATAATAAGCACTGAGTTTCCTGACGTAACTCGTTCTGGCATTCGCAAGTTCTTTCTGGCCAATGCAATGGATCGCGTCATGTCTTACGGACCACTTGTAAACAGAGCGCAGGATTCTGACTCTCTGACATCATGGGCACGACGATGGCCGCGACATTCCTATAGTGTCAGTCCATTGAAAAAAAAAGAGCGCTTAACCTTTCCAAGAACACGAGGCACAGTTTCACGTTGCAATACTTTTTCCCTTAAGCTTGGGTACATTAGTGAGATTCTCCTTTCTTTGCAGAGACGCCAGATGCACCCGATGACATCAGAGTCGTAGAAGCGACCAGTCGACGAATATCGCTTCGCTGGAACACGCCTTTCAACGGGAACAGTGACATTCTTGGCTATTTCTTGCAGTGGAAAGAAGTTTCTGGTGAGTTTCTGCTTCGTCGCCAAATGTCCATCTTTTCGTGTGCACGCAGAAGTATACATGAAAAAAACGCTATATATATATATATATATATATACATTTACATTCCTTGGCATTACTGTCTGTTAGATCTCATTAATATTGTGTCAAAACGCGGAAAAACGAGCCCTTAGGTATACACTTCTTTCCCTTAATATATATATATATATATATATATATATATATATATATAAACTGAGTATGAGTAGCCTAGAAAAGAGGGGCTATTATGTAAATATAATGGAAGAGCACTACTCACCGCTGCGAAGCGCATGAAAGAACCATTTGAACGGAGTCATCAACTGTAAAAAAAACCACAAGTGTTGCACAAATCTTCGCAGTATTTCAAACTTGCGGATGTCTTAGCACAGGGGTCACTAACTGGTGGCCCGTGAGGCAGAAACATGCAGCCCCGACCACAACTTTAGGAACCACCCCCTCCCCCACCACCTCAATCCTAAGTAAGCGGTGAATACCCGCACGACTTTCTGCTGCGGCAGATGAACAACCTAGTGTATGTTTTAGCCATCTGGCTTATAACTTTCAGCCTTAAAGGTCGCATTAAATGTCGCTTCTTTTTTCTTGTACACTACGTTCAAAATGGGCCTTTTGCGGGTCTGACCAGCGCCTCCATTGGAGATAATCGAAAACGAAGTTGAGGGTTCTTATCCTGTGATATTGCTCACCAAGCACTGGCTAGCTATCTCGGGGGCCTGCATCTGCTCCTTTCTTTGGAGGAAACATTTGCATGTTTTTGACATTAGCTGTCGCTTGTTCGGCAGCTGACGTAGTCGTTAATCCACTAAAATTCATTAGGCGTGCTTTGTCGATGCCGGCACGCATGCGCAATATACATACCCAGAAAAGGCCCATGGCAGCTTTGTGACATGCGTGCAGTAAATAAAGGTGGTGTTCATACCAATTCTGTACATCACTCTTGTCAGTTCAACAATACTTTTTCCCTTTGCCTGTAAAGGCCCCTCTCCCGGAACCCCCTCAAACGCCGTGTGACCTCTGCCGTCCCGGCTTCATGCAACTCGGTCCTTCGGCCCAAAAGGTTTCCGACACCAGCGTTGGCAAATATGGTTCTACGCCTATCTCGGCAAATTACTAAATGGTCCAAAAAAAGAAATATATATAGTGTGTCACTCCAGTTTGGCTCAACCACCTCTGTCTACCATCAGCATGAAACAGGGAAGACATCCCCGACTTATGTGTTATTGCGTTTACTCTCAGGCACATGGCAGAAGGATTCGCGACATGTGGAGGTACCCGGTTCCAACACCTCAGCTGTGTTGGACGACCTGGAGCCTATCACTGCTTACCATCTGCGCGTGCTCTCAGTCAACAAGTTTGGGAGGAGCGAACCAAGCCCCATGATTTCTGTTACCACGGACGAAGAAGGTAGGTCCTATCTTCCCTGAGTATCTAAATTGTTGGAACAAATAATCAAGATATTATGTTGTTTTTTGTGCATTACGCTTGTGCAAGTGAATTATTAGTTAGCGTGGATGTCGTATACCAACGAAGGCTAATGGTAAATGTGCCCCTCAAATTCAGCATTTTAGGAATGTTTTCGTCCGGTTCACACAAAAGGCCATTGGTTCGCTAAAGAAACACGCGTGAATAGGCGCTGGTGTCAATTTTTATATTAAATGTTGGGTTGGTAATCATTTATTATATATATATATTTCGTAAGAAAACAGGGACCACTAGATTGTCACGGGTTTGAGAAGTGGACTAAGGCAGCAGACTGTAAGTAAACGGTGTAACTGTTTATTTGGGCTGAACTTGTGTCCAGTCAACGAAAAGTGAAACTACAGCGATACACACTGGCACCGATAACGGCGGACAGAGCATTGGCCAACGATAAAGTGACAAGCGGCGAAGTGCGTCGGCAATTATACATGTGCTGTCGAATATTCCAGACTTATCACTGGTCGTCGCGCAAGCTCTAGAATAACCTCGAGTGTTTTCATGTAACCATGGAATGGGTTCACTAGAAGAGCGTATTGCCTCACGAATTCAAGGCCGCAACATTTTCAAGAATCTGTCCAGTACGAGTAGAGTTACATTTTCACGCACGCTGCAAACGCATTTTTAGGGGCGAAGCTCCTTATAGCGGCACCCGTTCGTCCCCCGTAGTATGTAACAAGTATAACATTTTGACCTCCAAGGTGGTGCCGGTGAGAGACTTCTTCTGTGCGTTGTTGAACAATAAAAAATAGTGCTCAATGTACATGTCAATGGCTGCTAATGGGGAATGAGAGACAGGAGCTATTCGGCTTTTAGTTAACGCGCAGGCTGCGATCACCATTAGCAGCCATTGTCATGTACATTGAGCACTATCTGACGAGAAAGGGTTGCTACGTTATAGTCGCTGGGTGTAACCTCCTTAGCTTTAGAAAGGTTTAGCGAGCGTTGAGCCGCAGTGCCATGAATACAATGAACTTGTATATACCATGAATGAACTCGAGGTGGTTAAAAATGGAAAGTAAATACGAAGCGCAAGCCGTAAGAAAGTAAAGGCCGAATTCTCCGCCTCTCATTTCCCATTAGCAGCCATTGGCATGTACATTCAGCACTATCTGACTGAAAAAGTTTGCTACGTCATACTCGCTGGGCGTAACCTCCTTGGTTTTCGAAAGGTTTAGCGAGCGTTCGGACGCAGTGCCATGAATACAGTGAACTAGTATATACCATGAACTCGAGGTGGTTAAAGGTGGGAAGTGGACCCGAAGCGCAAGCCGTAAGAAAGTGTGCGTGTGCCACCTCTCGTTTAGTCCTTGGAATGTCCGCTGGATAGCGGTGCTTCTATATGGGGAATATATGATGAAAAGATGCGAGATGGTGGTACTTGGAGTGTTGAATATATGGACGAACGGACACATAGACAGATGCATGGATGGACGCATGAACGGACGCAGGGGCGGCTGCATGGACGAACGCAGGGACGGACGCACGAACAGACGCACGCACGGACGGGCTGATGGACGCATGGACGGTCACACAGACGGACGCATGGACGGACTGGAAGCAAGAACGAATGGACGGACTGAATTCTTCGCCCCACTCTCCATCATTCACACCGTGGATATGCTGCCATTCCATCCGTCCGTCCATCCATCCATCCATCCATCCGTCCGTCCGTCCGTCCGTCCGTCCGTCCGTCCATCCGTCCATCCATCCATCCGTCCATCCGTCCGTCCGTCCATCCATCCGTCCATCCATCCGTCCGTCCGTCCGTCCGTCCGTCCATCCGTCCGTCCATCCATCCATCCGTCCATCCGTCCATCCGTCCGTCCGTCCGTCCGTCCATCCGTCCGTCCGTCCAAAAGATGCAAGATGTTATAAACTAGACGGCGGTACGTGTAGTTGATTATGAAAGATGCGAGGTGTTATAAAATAGGAATGATGCCACATATGGCGCGTGTCATCGTTCGATATAGTGCGGCGACGTACGCTAGGGGGAGCGTTGCAATAAAATCGAGTGGGCAAAATGTACGGAGGATTCATGGTTTACCAGGTTTACCTCCGGAGCTTCGCCCACTCATCATCATTCACTTCGTGGATATGGCGGCATTTTTTTTCTTCTCTCGTCCCCACGAAAGCACTGGAAGCTAAGCACAAAAAGATGGCAGGGGCAAAGAAAATACGTCACGCGCGCCTCGTGACGTTGAACACTTTTTTCTCCGTTTTTTTTTTTAAATACGTGGCTTTTCCGTGTGGTCGCGCATGCACACATGGACAAGTCCCGGCCTCTCCCGGTGATCCCTGTAACGACCGAGCGAGCCATGCTCAAATCAGCCAATGGCTGACAGATGGCTTTCTACGAGTGATTCTTGAGCGTTTTTCGTCATATGTCGAGAGAAGAGAAAGTAATCTTGAGCTGATTTTGATAATTTATTGCGTATTCCAGTCCACGTGCTGCGCTCTAAATATTTGGCTCGCATGTTCTTGAGAGCCTCGACTACCGATCACAGTATTTTCTAACTATACTCGAAAAGTGTTGCAGGGCCCCTTTAACAGAGCGATCTTTAATAATCACGAGTCTTCTCGAACAATGAGGCGCAGTTTGTGCGAACCATTTCTGGCAGGCTTTGTGGGCGAAAACTGATTGATACAAGCGCGAAAATAAGGAACGCGCCTGGCAATAATATACAGATGTGGGCTCTGATATCACGCGTCATATACAAATTCACTGATATTTCGTGTTATTAACTCAAAACTGAGATATCTGACTATCTTGTCAGCCTCTGCGAGTCAAAGGTTGGGTTAACGAGCAGACAAGTACCAAGTGCATGAAAACAAGGCATTTTGCCGTTTCTGTGCAGTTGATAAAAACACAATGCTAGGTTGCATAAGAATGCTTTAACGGCGGCCGCAAAGTCGTGACGGCTCCTTTTATGGCGCCTATGTACTGTCCATATTGCTCACTACTATTTACCGAAATATTGATGCGTATCACTGTATGCTTGAATACTAGGAAAAAAAGAGCACTTCCACCATATCTAATTTAAATTTGCAATCTATTCTGCAACAATATGTGGCGAATCGCATTAGGGATGTGAAGTGTGTTAGGAGGAGGGGTGAGTGGTGAATGACGAACGCAGTTTGTCGGCGTGTGTATTGTCACTTCGAGTTCACCACGGCGCTTCATTCTAAGCACGTGTTATAATTAGCGAACACCACTAATTACATCAGCATGCTTAGCGTTAGATTTCACGCAGGGCTGCGATCTGTCAATACGGCCGCAATGATGAGTTACGGACGCGCCATCTAGCTATATAGCTTTCGTGATGCAGTGGCGGCTCTTCAGGTAGTTGAATTAAATATATGCAAGGAATACAGTGAGGCTTGAGTGGAGGGTAATGATGGTCAGAGTACTTTAGGCTCCATTGTTTCTCCGGTGCCTAATTTAACCACCACATTCTTCCTGATACCAAAGACCAGTGTTTGACGTTGGTTTGGAGTTGGAAAAAAGGGACACCAAAAGGAGCATTGGCTTGGTTAGAATTGATAAGCTCCACTCTGAGAAATCTACTGCCATATGTTTCACTATTATAAGTTCAACAATAGCGGAGAGAATCAAGGTTGAAATTTCAATTTTAAATTTTGCGTCAAAATCTTGATAATGACGTAGAAAACATGAAAATGTTTTTGTAGTTTTTTCATGGCATTGGCTCGATGAAATTCTGTGAAACCTCGCATACTAAGTCTATGGCACCAACGAATTGCAACGCACTGCATTTTTATTGATTAAAAGCTATAAGGCCCTATAGACACCTTCGAAATTTCTTATGTAACGGTATTTAGTCAGCACCAAATACCATGTCGCCAATGTCACGTCGCCACCCGCATTATTTTTTTCACGCGTTTTTCCTCTACAGATGTGGTACTTTTGGTGTGGTGGAATTGTACTTAAATACGGAAAAAATCATTTTGCTCTGTAGTGTCCCTTTTAGAGGGCGCTGTTCAACCTTGTGCGGAGGAAGGGGGAAGGGGGAAGGGTAAAAAGAAGGGAAAAGCAATGTAGGAAAGAGCAAAAAGGAGAAACTAATTTCTCACTGTAAGCATGATAGTACCGATTTGCCAGTCGTTGGTACCGCAGTTATACATAAAATATAATTCCAAGCCAGCCCATTGCGTACTGGAGGTGGACCCTGTACCTCTTGTCTACTGCTGCGGCTGGTCCCTTCACCTCAATTTTATATACTCTTACATAATTAATCAACAACCCCTTTTCCTTCCTTCAAAAAGTCTCCAGACAATGCACATATCGACCAGAAAAAGCTGAAGCTAAATCATTCATTTAGTTATTACTTGTCTATTAGTACGCTTCATAAATTATAGCAGCTGTGAAAATGAAGAACGTATGGTTGCTTCAAGTCACTGAAGCATCTCACCCGGACCTCAATGACTTTAAAGGCGTATAAGCCAGTCTACACGTTTACTCATTGCTAAGTAATAACTATGTTGTAATATAAGGCAACCAAAGGCTCTTCTTGCCATGATGTAAAGAGTTTTGCTAGACCTAAATGGCTTTAAGATAATAATGATATAAAACTGTACTGCTAGCTCTGCCGAACCAGAGTGGCGGAGTTTGAGGCGTAACTGCAGGAAGGGAAAGAGCGCCTACACTCTATTTTTTTTATTGATTGCCACAATTTCCTTCCCAAAATACACGAACGCACAAAAGTTTTCAAAACACTGCTGGACTGCAAATTATGTAGTTTAGTGTCTAATTATTTATATATATTTACCTTTGCTTTCATAGTTGAAAAAGTACCTATATATACGGCTATGTAGGAGGTTCAGCAATCAGCTTTTAATTGATATGTGGGATTTAACGTCCATATGAATAAAACCACCATATGATTATGAAAGACGCTATAGTGGAGGAATAAAAAATTTGAACCACCTGGGTTTCTTTAAGGTGCACCAACATCTGAGCACACGTGTCTACAGTAATTTCGCCTCTATCGAAAACGCAGGTGCCCCAGCCGGCATTTGATCTCGCGGCATGATGGTCAGCAGTTGAGGTCCTTAGCCACTAGACCTTCGCCGCGGGGCAGCATTGAGCTTTTGTAAGGTCAATTTACCACAAGGATTGAACAGTGTAAATCCAAAGACTGTGATATATCCATTGGCAAGTACTTAACTTTTCACAAGTTCCTGTGACAAGGCACTAGATGTACCTTCATTCCATTCAAAATAATTTATTCGAGTTATACAGTTGTCTTGTTGCAGCCATTTGATGAGCCGTTGTATCATGTTTCGTACTATTATCGAATGTGTAAGAACTAACCGTTATACAGTTGTCTTGTTGCAGCCATTTGATGAGCCGTAGTATCATGTTTCGTACTATTATCGAATGTGTAAGAACTAACCGTTATACAGTTGTCTTGTTGCAGCCATTTGATGAGCCGTTGTATCATGTTCGTACTATTATCGAATGTGTAAGAACTAACTATTATACAGTTGTCTTGTTGCAGCCATTTGATGAGCCGTTGTATCATGTTTCGTACTATTATCGAATGTGTAAGAACTAACCACGTCATAGACGTAACAGCATGTATGCTTTGTAAAGCGTTGCGGACAGCCTCAAACTAACGACGTGTTGCCATGTTAAAAATCACATTCCTTGTATTGTCTGATCATTGGTGCATACAAAGAGCAATATTCTTGCAGTGCCTTCAAAACCTCCTGAAGATTTGGTTCTCGTGCCACTAAGTTCACAAGTTCTGAAGGCTTCGTGGAAGGTGAGTATGAAGAAGGAAACAGGACTACATTCGGTAATTAGCGTCTAACGCTTTACGTAGCGAAAATAGACGCCCTTTGTCCCAACATGAAAGAAGGTATCGGCCGATTCTAGCAAATTATATATAAATAAATGCCTGTGTCACACTGCACCCCAAAAAATACAGATGGACCAAGGCAACCCATGAGGAGGATACCAAATTTTGTGATTCTGCCAGGAATTCAGGCTTTCTTTTTCGTGCGTTGTTTTCGATAAACTGCACAATTTACCGAATGAGCTTTGAAATCAATTAATGATTGATATGTGGGGTTTAACGTCCCAAAACCACTATATGATTATGAGAGACGCCGTAGTGGAGGGCTCCGGAAATTTAGACCACCTGGGGTTCTTTAACGTGCACCCAAATCTGAGCACACGGGCCTACAACATTTCCGCCTCCATCGGAAATGCAGCCGCCGCAGCCGGGATTCGAACCCGCGCCCTGCGGGTCAGCAGCCGAGTACCTTAGCCACTATACCACCACGGCGGGGCTTGAAATCAATTAAAAAGGCGAAACGAAAATTGAGAATTCATGTGATTGTAGTTAAGGTCTTTGGTGTTACAGCTACCTCCCGACAAAATTTAGACGACCCAATTGAAGTTGCTGACTATTGCCTGCAGTAGTTCACGCTGTTTCTTGTGTTGTCCTTAACTGCCCAATTGGATGGTTTAAATAATTATTTTTGAAGCAAGAAAGCTGGGCGAAAAATTCTGACGCGGCAGTTGTAGACGAGTACGCAAAACCTACGGTGACAGTGTTTCGAACTTTCTGTGAAATGTTCATAATTGTTTTTCTACTTACTACATATATTCACGTAAAATAAAAAAAAACTTGTGGCGTGCTTGCTTACGCGCCCATGCGCGCCGTGAATGCAGTGTTATGTAACGTTCCGCGAACAAACGATACGCTTCATTCGGGGCGGTTTATGATAGCAATAAGCAGACACGGCTGTTATATTTTCTGTTGCCGCAAGAAAAACATACGTTTTAGCACAGCCTTCTCGAGGCAGTACTTGTGGTAAAATGTTAAGGAGCACTTCAATACAGCGCATAATCGGGAATGTCATGTAATATATATATATATATATATATATATATTGCTGGCATCTGCGGTAAGCAGGACATTATACCTGATAAATAAAAAGTAAGGAACAGTCTAACTCGACGTTTAGCATGCTGATCTACAACTTTCTAATTGAATATATTTCACCGGCTTCATTGTTTCAAATTTTCGTCATTATGCATGCCTAATTAGATAATTAGGAAGATCACAAAACCAGTGTGACGCGATTCTGGCAATGATGAGCAGCTATCATTGGGTCATGTTGTGATAGTGCATCAAAGTATGAAAAGTGATAGACATTAGCTGTCGAATGAAAGTTTCTGTTTTCTTAGTTTTTGTCAGCACGAATAACTCTTGATTCGGCGACTTTGAGATTTGGCAATTTCGGTGACTTCGAGTCTGTCTATCTATCTATCTATCTATCTATCTATCTATCTATCTATCTATCTATCTATCTATCTATCTATCTATCTATCTATCTATCTATCTATCTATCTATCTATCTATCTATCTGTCTATCTAGCCGCCTACACTTGGGTGCTCTAATGATCACCCCGTAACTTGGCGTGAAGCAAGACTTGTATATGAGGGTAAGATGACTGTACGGATGCGACTGGCTGATTATGACATGATCAATGTTATAATTCCCGTCATAAACGTCGTAAAACAGCACCCGCCAGACAGTAACACACACACACACCCACGGGTGGGTATGCGCTACTGTATGTATATATGTGGGTATGTGAATATGTGCCGTAGTTGAATGACACTTGATATATACTCAGGAACGGTGAGAACACACATGGGTAATTTAACGCTTGGTCGTTAAGAAAAGGTGTACATCGGCTGCGTTAACCAAATGAATGCCAAGAAAAAATTTCAGAGGGCCAGTAGGAGTTGCACACCAGCATTCTGCGTGGCAATCAAGTATTCTACCACAAAACCACGCCACGTCTCAAAACTACTTTCTGAATAGACCCTAATGGTCGTGTAACGTCGATTGTGGTTGCAGTACTGGCTATCCAATTTTATAATCGTTACATATGTACTACTATGATACAGCCGTCATGTCGGGTTAACGTCAGTTGCAGCTAGGTGTCACCTGCCGAAGTTGATTTATGTAGCAATGCCCAAAGCTACCATCCTCGTGAGCATCAGCGCTTCATATCAGCTTATCATTTCTGGTGTTCGTAATGCCCATGTTGAGGTTGGCATTGTTACGTGCCTGTAAACAGCTGCTAATGTAAACCATATACAGCTCTAAAACATCTTTGGGTTCATTTAGTTAGCGCCACTTCATGACGTTTCGCCCAATTAAAGTTTTAAATACATTCCACTTCCATGCGGATGCTTCGCACAACCTTGATTTCTAAGGTACGTGCTGTCTGCCCAATTTTGGGTGGGCAATGCATATCTTCAATGTTCTGACGTGGATAAAGGAAGTCTAGAGGTAGCAGACCACGAAGTCAAAATAAGCCAATTAATATTTATTTTCTTATTATATACAGTTTTGAGACACCGATGTGCCCATACGCTTGGATAGTTTTTGTTCAACGGTACTTTTTGACGATTTCTCATCATAGGAGCTAAAATAGGTCATAAGAGTTAAAATACTGATTTAGCTTTATCATATTTATTATCATTATCATCAGCCAGGATGCGCCTACGGCGGTACAAAGGCGTATCCCACATTCCGCTATAAAACTTGGTCCTGTGGCTGCAGCGCCATTGTTATACCCGCGAGCTTTGTCACATCTGCCCACCCAACTTTCTTTCTGTACTTGAAGTCTCAGTTCACGTGGCTGTTATCTGCACGAATTATTGGTATCTGAAAAGACAAATGAATGAATGTATAAATAAATTATTTTTTTCTGTCATATGATGGACGTGGCAAAAAAGAATCAGACTAAATGTTGTTGCGATTAGCACCAACCTGACATTTACGAGGCGCGCGCGTGCATATACCATTGTGCTCCTTTGTGTAAGCTGACGATTGTATCCTGTGTTCATGGTTGTTTGTGCATAGGTTAGTAACGACAGAACCGTCTTTTTATTTTATTTTTTTTTCAGCCGCCCCCAAACTTTTCGGCACACGGACGGATCCGCGGCTATTACGTCGGCTACAAGCCAGTCGGATCGGGCGAGTCATTCGTCTACAAAACAATTGATGTCCTGGATGGCTTCGTTCCAGAAATAAGCATCAACAACCTGAAGCGTTCCACCAAGTACAGCGTCATCGTGCAGGCGTTCAACGGCAAAGGCGCCGGGCCTCCATCTGCCGAAATCACTGCTCAAACTTTCGAACATGGTGAACAAAAGGCAGACATCTGCACCTTTGCTTCTGTCTATAAAAAGTTTTTACGTTAAATAATGAAAATTGAATCATTGGCAATAACGCTCTCATTTGGGCTGCTTGGTGTATACTTGGAACACAATGCGCAGCTGGAAGTTGGATGTTTACACCCGGCCTGTGTACATCTGTTGCTCAGTAATGTCTTTAGCGCAGCCATTTATTACGTTCAATAATGGTTTTAATAAGCATGAATCAGACCAATCGTTGTTCGTGAGAGTGGTTAAACGAGCGCTTGCGCGACGGCGCGCGCTATTATCTTTCAGGCAGTCAATTATATTGAGCTGCCTCCGCATGTATGGAGACAGTACATTGAAGTCCCGTTGAAGTTAGCCTGCGCTATCGAATAAAATGCAATTAAAAGCACATTCTAAATAATAAATCATAATATATCTGGAATTTGACGTCCCGAACTACGCTATTATTTCAAGATAAGCAGTGGACACTCAGATCCATGCTCAGAGAATTTTTATAGGAGCCCCTGTAATACTGTCATTCTTGCCTTATGATGACAAATAAAAACCTGAGGTTAACCGTGTCTGCGTTTACAGCGCACTAAATCCTTCTTGACGAAAACTTGCTGTTGCATTTCGGGAGAACTCCTTGATTGATTGATTGATTTGTGGGGTTTAACGTCCCAAAACCACCATATGATTATGAGAGACGCCGTAGTGGAAGGGCTCCGGAAATTTTGACCACCTGGGGTTCTTTAACGTGCACCCAAATCTGAGTACACTGGCCTACAACATTTCCGCCTCCATCGGAAATGCAGTCGCCACAGCCGGGATTCGAACCCGCGACCTGCGGGTCAGCAGCCCTTAGCCACTAGATCACCGTGGCGGGGCCGGGAGAACTCCTTTAAAGCAGCGTTTGGCTTATTATTATTGCTATGTTGGCACGCCTACTACAGTGGCCAAACGATTAATCGTTAAATGATACAGACATCCTGAAAAGATGACGTTCGTTCACGAAGGCTCATTTTTTCGGGTGTGTGAAAGCATTTTTATAAGGAGAATGCTGCAAACGGGGGGTCGTCTTCTTTCCCTTTCTTAACCCTCCGCCGGCACCTTGCGGGTTTTCACAGAACTTATTTGCAATACGTCTGTCCATGTGCTTCGGGTGGTAGATCAATTCACCCTTGCTGTGTCGATTGTTAACTTCTTGGTTAGCTCAATTGGTAGAGCGACCACACCAGAAAGGTGTTGGTCGCGGGTTCAAACACGAAGAAGGACGGCCTGTTAGGCAAAAAGAAGCTTTTTTTTTCTGAGAAATTCCTATGCATTTCCTTGTGGATTCGTGCTACAAAGGGGTGGTTGGCTTCTCTCCATTCTCATAATAAGTTTACGTGCATTTTTGAGACACGTTTGATGCCTTTTTGCTGAATGACTATGTTTATTGTATAAAAGATAAATGTAGTATTAGCATTCTGTTTCTAAATTCTTGCTGACAACTGGCCTGTGACAAACAAAGTTGGATGTTTTGGCAGAAAAATAAATGTATCATTGTAATCGTTTTGTTATGATGGTGCATCTAAAGTAGCAAGTACAATGCACTTGTTTTCAAATGTTAAAAGCAACTCAAAATCTCTGTCACCGTAAACAAATAGATGGCTACCGCAACATTTTTGCTGTATATGTCTTGTTGAAGGAAAACTTGGCCATTCAATCAAAATTTCCGTGCTTCGTGCAAACATTCTGCAATTTACTTGAAACAAACAAGAATAGTACTACTAGATGTCATTTGATGAAAAGCTGTGTCGAAGTACCATTAGTTACATAATGCTTACATCTGCTACAGTCATAGAACGATGTACATTGTTTGTTACTAGCATGAGGCATAAGTATCCGTATATAGTATGTTGTCTTTGCGCCACCGATACCTGAACAAGACTTAATGAGCCAGTCCTCCACTGCATTTGCTGCTTAATTTCGCAAACAAATGCTCTTCTTAACTGGCTTTTTTTCTTTTGGATGAATGACGACACAGATCCTCCTCTTCCTCCTGTGATCCACGTTGTGTCTACATCCACAAGTGCTGTGACGGTGTCTTGGGATGTGTCATCGAAAGAAGCAAAACCAATAACAGGTGTGTCTGCGTTTTTTTTTTTTTGCCTCTTGCGTAAACGAGCTGTCATGTAGTTCTCAAACAAAGTTCGAAGAAGCCCATCTTAGGTTACATGGTGAACTATGACAGTAGAACATCGTCAGAGTGAATACAATTATATTGAACGGTCGAGTAAAGTAACGACAAACGCGTGACTGAACTATGGTCAACACCATCTAATAGGCATTCATGTATGCCGTTTTATATCTTTAATGACATATTGAATACTTTGATAACAGGAAAAGTGACAAAAATACAAAAAGTTCCCAATACATTGGGAATAACAGAAACAGACATGGCATTGTAGAACAAGTTGGCACACTAAAAGAAAATAACTTAATCCAACTAACAGAAAATAAGGTCATGGACCGAATTGGGGACATGTGAGTTTTAACTGTATATAGGGCAGTAACTGTCACATAAATGAAAAGAATTTTGAGTCAATTAAAAAAAACATGTTGCACCTGGACATTGAACCTACAACTTCAGCAGAAAGAGACCTATGCTCTAGAACTAGAGATGTAACGATGGAGAAATTTCCATCCTCTTTAATAAATTTTTATATTTCTCGTAATGCTTGGGGTTGAACTTCTATACACTTCATTTTCTTTTTTAACACGAAAGTGTTTCATACCGGGGTTCACTACGGCTTCGCTGACCTACTTTCGTCACAAAGTGACGTTGAAAAATATACACTAAAACACTGTAAATAAAAAAATTCGATGGAAAAAAATTGGGGGACCCTCAAGCTTCAGCCTTTAGGCGTTGAACGCAATAGCGAAATCCGGCCCCTAGTGCGCCCTTCCACCGCTAAGTGCATAGTTAGATATGTTTTGTTACACACACAAACACACACACAACACACACACACACACACGCACACACACGCACACGAACGCGCGAGCACAAGCGCGACGTATCTATATTAATGCAGTGACTGTGCATTGTGGCCACTTCCCTCTGCAAGAACGGCACTCTGCCGTAGTCGAGACACGTTTTTCACAATCTCTCACAGATGGTACACAGACACACACACACACACGCTCGCGCGTGCGCGAAAAAAGTTTTTGGTCTAAAGCAAGAGTCACATGGCCTCCAAGATACAGGCCGCTGGCTTGCCATCTGAGAGGCATGAAGAGTCTCACAATACCTCACAGATGGTAGAACATGATCTAGCGTTTGCTGTTTGGTTTATCAATGCCTCTGGAAAGGCATGACACGTTTTCCGCTTGATGGACATAGTCGTTCATATTTAGAGCTGTTTGAAAGTCCCTGTGTGTTTTTAGTGGTGATAACTGCACTATCCCGGCCTTTTTTGACGTAGTTTGATGACCTCCCAAATGCACCTACAAATTGCCGAATGGGCTCGTTTTCGTCGTGACACATGTCGAACAAAATGCGCCAAGGAGACTCCTTACAACACATGGCTATTATGTACTGTTTTTTCCCTATAACAGCTGCAAGTAACGTCGTGTATTTGGGGTAGGACACCTGCTTGCCGCGTGAACGGCCCGGGTTTGATCCTCACTGGGACCGAAAAGTTTTATTCTTTCTTTTATTTGCTTCTCTCTCCACTTTTCGCTCACAACCAACTGCGCCGACGCCGACGGCCGAATTTCTGCAACATTATCTGTCTAGCGCTTCTGCGTTAATATCTGCCGCACGGAATCGAATCAGCAACTTCTCAATTCTCAGCGTGCGGTGTTAGCCACTACATTACAAAACGTACGTTGTCTATTGTGCTAACGGCAAGCCATTTATTTACACCACACACTGTTTGGCAGTCCACAGAGCTTCGAAACTTCAGTGCGTTTTAGTTATCAGCGGCGAGATGGCACGACGACCTCGTGTTTGACGTGCTCTCAAGGTCGCTGCCCCTATAGTACCACGGAGCATCGTCTCTTCTGCGCGCGCGTTTATCAGACTCGTAATTCGGGAAAGTACGAAGGTCACATTCGCACGCTGCCACGGCCGCGTTTGCGAAAGGAGCGCGCTGCTGACACACGACGCAGGAAGAATTGTGACAGTTGTTAGTCCGCGTCTTGTTCTGTGCGTGCTTTCTCTTTGAGCATTGCGCTGGAAGTTCTTGAGCTGCTTGCCATTACTAACATGACTTTGCAATTTGTTACTGTTTCTGAAACAATCTGTAACAAACGCTCAATTACCTTTGTAAAGAAAAGTTTCACTTTCGTGTGATACTGATTGCTACCCAGGGAGATCAGCCACGTTTTTTTTTTCATTTAGGTGATAACCGCAGTTGAAATATCCATGTGGGCAACCCTATACATCCCTTAGATTGACTGTCGACCATATTCATTAGATTTTGTCTAGCATAAAAAGGAGATCTTAACCGATTCCACCTCTTTCATTGATAAAAATGAAATAGGCGCGACAAGAAGCTATGACGTCCTGCCCATGGCGGAGTGACCAGTGACATCACACGCGCAATAATTTTGACATACAAGTCCTGTACCTGTATGAGAGTGCATTCGTGCGCTTACAGTTTTTATTAGGGTAGACATGGTAATTTTCTATTGCAGCACACTTCGATATACGATGGCAATACTTGTTCGTTTGCCTACGATAGATTGTCCCTAATAAATATTGTCGCCACCTGCCATCAACAGCATCAAATCTTGGGAACCACAAATCATTTGAACCATTTTTTTCTGTTAGTACATTTCAGCGTCGATGAGTGATCAAGGTGTTCATCAACTCATGTGGAAAACTGTGTCGCTTCTCATCAGCTCAGCGGCTGTAGGAAGTGTATAACAATTCAAAAATTCACCAAAAGCGCACCGAAACTTAAACAGGCTGAAGTAGAAAGGACACCTTGTCAAATTTTCGGTGCGTTTAACAAAAAGTTTCAAAAAGAACGTCAATCAAATGGCCCAACTCGACATCCTCTCGAGGTGTATATTGGTTTATTAAACTGGATTGTACAGCCGAGGATGACATAAATGCCTTTAAATTATTTTTCGCTACGTCATGAAAGTCGGCAAACTTCACTTTGCGAAAGTGTACGTCGCACTTGCAAACTTCACGCGAGATGGGAATGTCGCCAGACTGAAACATGGTTCGGGAAGCTTTGTCTCGAGTCCTCGAGAACACAATCATGCTAGACAGGAAGTAGAAGTGCTTCCTAAAAGCTAGCCGCTTCCTGGCTGACCATCCTCTCTGTTCAATTATGCTAACCATCTTCCACTTCGTGCAAAGATACGCCATTCTTATTCAGTTAGCATTTGCTGTTCGACTAGGTGGCGCATGTCTATAAACAATAATAACAAATTTCACACCGCCAACGAGCCCCGCCGCGGTGGTCTAGTGGCTAAGGTACTCGGCTGCTGACCCGCAGGTCACGGGATCGAATCTCGGCTGCGGTGGCTGCATTTCCGATGGAGGCGGAAATGTTGTAGGCCCATGTGCTCAGATTTCGGTACACGTTAAAGAACCCCAGGTGGTAAAATTTCCGGAGCCCTCCACTACGGCGTCTCTCATAATCATATGGTGGTTTTGGGACGTTAAACCCACACATCAATCAATCAATCACCGCCAACGTGATGTCAAAAAGAATACATAAACATCCCTGACTCCCATTCGGTGTATCCGAGTCCTTTGCAGACTTCTTGTTGGTGCTAAGTCTATATCGTAGAAAACAATTCGCATTTTTTACAATATTTCAGGACATCGTTTCTTTCGCATGTCCAGAACTTTCTTGAATCAATGCTATTCTGGCATTCCCTAGAACACGCAGGTCAACATCGACGCCGAAAAGAACGCGCAGTTGTGCAATAACCACAATGCTCATACCGAGAGACGACCAGTAAACGTCATTGGCCTATTCGTTTTATTAGTGAAGCCTGAAGGCTAAAAAAAACAGCAATGAAACGTCGTGCATCTGCTCTATGGATAAAAGAAATGAAAAATTCATTTTTAGTGCACATGGCAGAGCGATTGCAATCTATACTATACACCTTATACATCGCATACATATCCAACACATAAATCACCTCACAGAAATATTTACCCCACCTACCAAGAACGTCAGGGGAGTGATTCGTGCTCCACAAACACTGTATGTATGTCGTCTTTTATCAGGATTGCGGCACCAACCAGCTCAGTTAACACACCCTTCACCATTGTTCATCTATGCTTACGCTCACTAAAATCAAGTCGAGGCACATCCGCAACACTTCCACTAGAATGCTCTATTGACGTTTGCGTATAGGCAAACTGTGCAAACACTCGCTTACACAGACTGAGCGGACAGCGGCCCAGATCATTCATTATACATGGATAAGCACTGGTGCTTTAGAGGGCCAGTGTTCGGCGAATAAAGAAAATGGCTGTGCCATCTAGGGCCTATATGTGCCTACTGCACTGTTCATGGTTTCCTATGTGCATTATTCATGCTAATGCACAGCTGCACGGCGCTGCCGTAGTCCGCGATGAGAAGTGGGAAATGGACCAGCAAATACAAGGCGCACGTAAAAACGCAGACGCCCACGCCCAGCTTTGGCGTTGATGTTTCCCTTGAGCCATCCGTCTACGAAGCTGTACGTTCTCGGGAACCATAAGGCGCACCGGTTACTTTATGCATATACAGCTCGAATATTATAGGCTGCGCGCCAAGGTAGAAAAGCCATGTATGAAAGATGCGGTTCCCGCACGCTATCCCTACTATCTATTGGCATGCGCTTGCGCGCGCCGAGTACATTTTTACAGGAAAGGCAGGTCCGCTGTTAGGGCGCGCCACTCAAGCCAGGTTCCCGTATCGTCAATGAAGCGGGACGCTTATACGATTTTTTAAGGCGGGCTTACACACCATATACTTGCCTGTAGGTTTCTTCGCTATTTCTGCTGATTCACAAAATATTCAGCTAACGTTGTTGGAAAAGTGGATGCGCTCAAGTAGGAAGCAGTTCACGAGTGAAATCCGCTGCGAGAAAGCTATTCCCAGGGTTGAAAAAGTGTTTGTGCTC